GAGCAAGAATTCATATGTAAAATCAAAAGCCTAGAAGTTGATCTAGCAAAAACAAAAGACTTGGCTAGTGAATATAAACAAAAATGTGATAAACAAAGTGCTTCCACCCTAACCATTGACCGGGAAGTTAAAAATCTAAATGCCCAAATGAATGCTCTAACTATGGAAAAGAGGGTGAATGAGCAGAAGGTACAACTACAACAAGCTCATATACAAGAGCTAAGTAGTAAATTAAAAAAATTACAGGATGAACTCCATCAGAAGACTCTGGATGAACAAATGGCACGCAAGAAGATGATTCTGTTTCAGGAAGAATCCATTAAGTTTAAACACTCTGCAGAGGAATTCAGGAAAAAAGTTGAAAAATTGCTGGAATCCCATAGCATCACAGAAAAGGACATTTCTGGTATAAAACTAGATAGCAGGAAAAGCATATGGCTGAGGAAAACATCATGTTGTACAAGATGCAAATGGAAGATCTGCAAGAAAGGCTTAAAAAATGTCATGAACAACTACAGCAAGGGAAGCAGGCTGAAATGGACTGTCACCAGAAGTGCAGGAAACTTGAGGAAGAATTGGAAGTGCAGAAGCGCACAGTTGAGAGCTTGAAACAGAAGATGGACCTGCAGGTCAAGGAGAGTGAACACAGGTTTCTTTTGTTTCAGAATGAAGTTCAGCAAAATAATAAACTCCAAGATTCTGGATTGATATTGAGCTGTGAGAGAAGAGGGAATGATTTCAATTACCTGAGTGGCACCACAGCCAGAGAATTTGAACAGCTTCCTCCACATGCAAAACCTAGCTCACCTTTGTTAAGGCAGAAACAGGAGAGACCAGGTTTTAAATCTGATCAAATAGAAGAAAATACATTATACGTGAGTGCTGATGATACAATACCGAGAGGGGTGCAGTTCCAGATGTCAAGAATAAACCAATCACTAGAAGAAGATGCAAGCCCGCAATCTTTTACAGAGTTTGTTTCTCAGACGAGTACGCAGTTCCAGATAACTTTTGATAAAGCAAGCCAAATCCCTGGAACATCTGAGAGGGACAAATTGAGAAACAGGAACCTACACAGTTCCAGACAAACTATTAGACATGGGGAAGACATGAAACATGAATTAGGAGTGGTAAAACTGCATCCCTTGGAGGTACACACTACGTTTTGTGAGGGTTTGCCTTCCTAGTGCTGGTTTTTACTATTCTATTTTTTTCTGTTTGTTTGTTTTTAGTTATGCTTTATCACTATTCTGCATTCTCGCTAATGTTTCTTATGTTCTTACCTTGGTGAAGGGACCCTCTTCATTCTTACATGACACAAAAAGCTTTTAATTAGACCTTTGTAGCAGGTTTGTTAATATCTAAGAAACGCATTATTTTAAAAGTTTGTATTGGAAATAGGAATTCACATACACCATTGTATCATTATTGGTCAAAATAAGCTTTGATTAATGGCACTAAGTTCATATAGTACCAAACGAGTTATTGTTGCTTAGTCGACTCATATTTCTGTTACTGAATAAATATTTGAAATGGCAAATGCACTTTAAAACTCTAGCTATCTATATTTCTCTGTTGTCCAATGCTAGTAGCAGTTCTCCTTTCCGACTTGCATTCAAGTTCTCCCTTTTGTTTCTCTGGTGGTGGATTTAGGAGTGAATTATGTACGGCATAGTTCTGCAGATGTATTTCTCACTGTGTCAAAAAATTCCTGTTTACAGATAGTGAAGAACAAGCAGTATGACATGCATGTTGAAGTCACAACATTAAACCAAGAAAATGACAAGACTTTTGGTAATGAAGAGAGAATGTTTGAGGGATACAAAACATCCGAAGGGTTTAGGAGAGAAGACTTTGCAAAGATGAGCTCTTTCTTAGGGGAAGAGATTTTGAAAACTCTTGATGATGCTACTCAGTTGGAATATTTTACAGAGGAATATGATGATATTAAATTTCAAGGTCTCCGACATGATGTAACTGCCAGACAGTTGACTGAAGTTAAACTTTTAGACAGGTTTACGGTTGAGCAGCTCCGTTCAGGGCAGAAGACTATTGATGAGGTTCAGAAAAGTCTTGAAAAATTTTTAACCAAACCTACAGCTATAGCTGGGCTGTACCTTGAATCCAGCAAAGAGATACTCTCTTTTGCTTTTGCAGCAAAGAGAGGAATCATAGGAAAAGCATTGGCATTAGCATTTTTAGAGGCCCAGGCAGCTACTGGTTTCATCATTGATCCCACAACAGGTCAGAAATTCCCTGTTGATGATGCAGTTGTTAGAGGGCTTGCAGGTAATGAATTCAAGAGTAGACTGCTTGAGGCAGAGAAAGCTGTTTTGGGCTATTGCTGTTCTGGGAAAGTGATCTCTGTGTATCAGGCTATGGAAGCTCGACTCTTAGAACGACAAAAAGGTAAAAATATCCTTGAGGCTCAAATTGCAAGTGGGGGGGTCATTGATCCTGTAAGAAGTGTTCGTGTACCTCCAGAAACTGCTGTGCAGCTTGGCTTGCTTAATAACACAATTATAAAATTCTTGCATGAACCTTCTAGTAATGCAAAATGTTTTTGCAATCCAAATAACCGAAAAGCTATGTACTACTGTGATTTGCTGAAAATGTGCTTGTTCAGCGTAAGCAGTAAATGCTTTCTGCTTCCAGTTGGTGAAAGGAAAATAAGCAGCCCGTCAGCAGGGAAGAGTCATAAAATTTCTGTAGTAGACATCAAAACAGGAGCTGAAATGACTTCATATGAGGCTTATCAAAAAAATTGTGTTGATAAAGCTACGTATCTGGAGCTTTCCAAACAGGAATTTGATTGGAAGGAGTCTACGTGTTTTGACTCTGATGGGAATTCTTTTCTTTTGCTTACAGATCTTAAAACTGGTGTACAGTTTAATATCGAGGAGACCTTAAATCAGGGTAGAATTGGCAGAGCATTAGTCAGTAAATATAAGGAGGGTTTAATCACAGCTAATGAGTTTGGTGATATTTTAATTAGCAGTTCACAGCCAAATAAAGATTTAAACAGTCCTATTGCAGGGTTCTGGCTTTCTGAAACCAATGAGAGAATTCCAGTTTTAAAAGCCTCACGCAAAAACTTGGTAGATAGAGTTACTGCCCTCCGGTGTCTTGAAGCTCAGGTTAGTACAGGAGGCATAATTGATCCATTTACTGGGAAAAAGTACAGTGTTTCAGAAGCTTTGCAAAGGGAGTTAATCGATGATGGTTGTGCGAAGCAAATCCAGCAGTGTGAACTCATCTTTACTGGGATCATTCACCCTGTAAGGAACACAGTTATGTCAGCTGTTGAAGCCATGCACATAAATGCTGTAGACAAAGAAATGGGTATGCGCTGCCTGCAGTATCAGTACTTGACTGGTGGGTTGATAGATCCAAAGTCTCATTCCAGATTAACAATGGAAGATGCAATTAAGAATGGTATTATTGATGCTGTCACAGCTACAAAGATGAAAGATGAAAAATTGTATGTTAAAGTTTTAACATGCCCCAAAACGAAGAAGAAGTTAACGTACAAAGAAGCTTTAGAGACAGCTGTTTTTGATTGCCACACTGGGCTGCGATTGTTAGAAGCAGCTCAGGCCACGAAAATGGGGATTTCCAGTCTTTACTATAATTCGTAATGGAACAAAGATGATAGTACTCATTTTCGGGGCCTGCTTTAAAACCCATTCAAGTCAAGGAAAAGATCTATGATAGCCTTTATGGAAAATCATAAATGGTGTTTTCTAATGTAATCATGAGTTGCTGTAAAACTAATTAGTACAAACCACTAATTAGTATAAACCACTAAAACTGGAATTACTTGTTACAAAGTTGAAATTTATAGATAAACTTAGGCAGATTCATAATTTCAAAATGCAAACTGTGTGTTCAGTCTTTACTTGAAGACCTTGTCTGACATGTAGGTAGTGTAAATCAGAAGTTATACTGAGGTTGGTGAAGTTAACATTAGTGCAAAATGGGTAGATTTAGATGAGACAAGAATCAGATTCTTATATTAAAAATTGAAAGGGATTGCCCATTTTGCAAATGAAGACAGTGCAGTATTTCATGTGACCTGATACTTAATTTAATATTACAAATCAGTTTGCAGATATAATTTATTTTACAAAAGTGGCAATAAAGTATGCAAGAGTTAAATCTGCAGTCCAGTAAACACATATGCATAAGTAATTCTTCTCACACTGGTATTTCATTAATTTTAATGGGCTACTTACATCCCAATTTTTTCTCGCACTTCAGGTAACATTTTTTTTTTTAGAATTGTTTTCATGCTCTAATAAGCAAATGAATTATAATTACATATAAAATTAAAAAAAAAAATCCATTGAAATAAAATGTCTTCATTTTTACATGTGATACATGGAAGGGCTTAAGCGTGTTTTCTAAGTATTGATAAATTTCAAACTACAACAAATTGTACTACCATAAAAAGAAATATATCTTCATGTGCAGAAAAAGATGAAATGTCTCAGTATTTTACTTTTATTGTTCTTGCTTCTGTAGACATAAAAGCAGTGTATTCTTCCTAATTGTAATTTAGTAATCCCTGTGCATAGATTGCAAAATACTGATATCCTATGCTGGCTGTACATATCCACACCTGAGGGTAATGCAAAGGCAGCAATTCAAAGATACTTTATATGCAAATGTTGTTTAGATTTTATCTGCTGAGTAATAGCTGGGAAGCTGTGCTTTTTCTTAATATCAATCATTTTATAATGAATGTATATGTGTATGAATAAGCACCGTAATGATAATTACAAATCATTCGAGGAATTATTTTGTTAATGTCTGTAATTATGTGGCATTTTTGTTCCTACATCAAAGTGTCATAGTAATGCATGTGGTGATAAATAAAAAGAAATCACTTTAAATGATAATACTGCCATTGTGGTAGAATTGTGTTTCTAAGGACGTTCATGTTAAATATTCCAACAATTTACATTTACATGTTTTTTACAATTCGCAATGCTCATCAGAAGTCAATGGAAGAAGAAAAGAAGGAACATGTTGAAAAAGCTGGGGATTTACTGAAATGGGTGTCAAACCTCAGCAAGACACTCAGCAAAGAAGAAGGAGAAAAGGCTGAAAAGACAGATTTGCCTAAGCAGCAGGTACACAGAAGTCTTTTGGTAAAATACCACTTAATCTTTTTAGCTTTCTGTGTTGATTAAAATGAGAAGATATTCCATAAATACTTTTTTTCCTCCGAATCGCCATCCACATTTAACTAAAGATGTAATTTCACATTTGGTTGTGAGTGGAGGGTTGGGTATATGAACACCAATGTTTAGGGACACAAACGTGTTACTCAGGAGGAAGTGCAAGCTGCTTTTTACAGGCCTGGCGTGTGACATATTCTGACACTGCAGAATGTCAGTTTAGAGAAACTAGACCCTGCAGACCATAACTCAGCCTTTGCAGAGGGACAGTGCATCCTGGTAGGACGGCACTTTGTAGATCTGCCCCCTTGTCCTGAAATAGTTCAGTGAATGAGTCTGGTAACTTCTACCCTGGCACCAGGAAGGAGAGAGTGGGCAGGCGGGGCCGGAGGGCCAGGTTTTTTTTTATTTGCTGTTAAAAAGTTAGTTTGAGGGGTCCTCTTATGGGATAGTCAAAACTGCTGTCTTAGGGAATACAGCAGGTGTTGACTGAGCCCCCTTTATTATCACACTAGACCGCAGGCTGCTGCAGTGGCCCATCTTGCCACCTTTGTATTTAACAGGTACATTGTCGTTGTGTACAGTTGTAACTCTGACCATAAATTGCCATCTGTGAAGTTTCCTATCATTTCTAACAGCTTCCCTGCTAGGCTTGTCCCACAAAATAGCTTACTGACACCTAAAAAGATTTCAGTAGGTGAAGGTCTACCTGCACAGTGACCAGCAGAGAGATGGAGCAGTATCTTTTCCACATCCCTCGGTACAGGGCTGGATGTGTGGTCATGCTAACACGATTTTGGCCCTCCTGGCAGCCTGTTCCTGCTTTTTTATTTTGGTCACGCATGCTGGTGCTGGTTAGAGCCACTGGAGCAGCGTGTGCATAAATCAAGCTTGCTGTCGGGCAGGTCGGCAGTCCTGCAAGTCCCAATGGCCACTGGTCCCAGCACACTGCTTGTTCTTAGGGGACCAGTGCTAGTTCTGTTACTGAGTTTGTCCCTATATCTGTAGGAAGAAGTAAGCTTGTATTGATTTGAGCATATTGATTAGTAAATCACTAATAGTTAGGATCAGGATTTCCAAAAACACTCAACACTGGTCTTTTTCTGCCCTTGTTAATGACAATAGTGCAAACCTTTGTCAGCGTTGGGCCAGCACTCAACTCCTTAGAGCATCTCAGCTTACCACAGCACCTATGGCTGGCATCTTCCCTGTCCAGCCTGAGCCCTCAGCGAGTAACCTGTGAGTTAGCCGCCTCGGCTTCCTTCAGCCTGTGGGAGATGGCCTTTGCCAAGGGTGTTTCCTTCCCTCGTGAAACAGCCCGGTGAGGTAGCGTCACCTTTCAGAGGTGCCTGGTTTTGTGTCTCCACTGACTAGCACAGGTGCCTTGACAAGTTTTGTAGGAACATGTAGACCAGTGATTTGATAGCTAATGTTAGCTGAAATACATTTCACACAGTGGTTTGGGATTGCTGTGGGGTGTAGCCGTGGAGCGGGTGGAGAAGCTGGTGCCAGTAGTGACAGGGCACACACAGCAGCCGCAGTGATGCCAGTTCCCTGAGCAAAGTGGAGCTCATGACCCGACCTGCTACTTCAGCCTGCTCACATCGCCACCTTGTGTAGTGCATTCAGTGCTTGCTCTCTTGGTTTCTCTCCAAGCAGCAGAAGTGGTGGGATTGTGGCTTGCTGGCGGTGATTGCAAAGGGAGCCTCTGTGCAAGACCCTGTTCAGGCCCTTTTGACGCGATGCACACAGGGACAGAATTGGTTGTGTCCAGACCCAGGTGAATGCAGGGCCCACTTGCTAGAGCTCTCTTAGCACCGACATTGAACATATCTTGGGCTTGCTAATGAACTCCTAGACTCCTCTTTGATACTTCGCCTTTATTTATCCAAAATGAGTGCTTTTCTCTGAAGAGACTGCAGGCAGTTTCTCTGAAAAGTTAAAAGATTAAATTTCAGAAGTTCCTCTGCTAGAACAAGAGCTTTAGTGGAGATGACACAGAAACGATAGGGAGAATATTAAAAAGTAATTCATTTTTTCTGAGTGTCTGATATTGCATTTGTCTCCATCATTGAAAATCATGAAGATTTGTGGCCTTCTGATATGTTTTTTTAAAAAGTTGTTATCTCTCATCTTGGTGAGCAACTTCTTGAACATGACCATTGTACACATACCTTTGTAAAGCTGCTTTGAACTGTGCCAACTATAATAAGTGGTTTTAAATGAATGGTTAATTTTCGAACAAATAACATTTTAAAATGAATTCCCTTTGTCTCATCCAATAGTTTTCTAATATGAACAGCTTATTTAACCAAAAGGCATAGCACAACGACTTATCCATGTATAAATGATACAATTCCATAGTAAATAATATCGCTCTAAGAATAGCCGGTATTTAAAGAAAAAAAATCAAGTTCTTATACTATTAAGTTTAGTCAGAGATAGAAATACTATGTTGTTTGTTTTCCTTTTTATGTATGTGCATAGTTAAGTCTTGAACACAGTTTTTTTTATTTTTCAGATTTCCCTGGATGAAATGTCAACCAAGAAAGAACAAATAGCTGAAGCTCTGCAGACTACTCAGTCATTTTTAGCTAAGCACAGTGACAAGTATGCCATGTTTTATTTTTGAAATCATGTAAATTAATTGAATTGGTATATACTGTTTGCTTAAAAAGAAATCATATCCTCATCTTACAGTTCCAACTACATTTCAAGTACAAATGTGTCAGTTTTTTTCTTTAATTTTATAATTTTGTCTTCCCATTTGGGGAAGCTTGATGCAGTTTTGTTTAATTCAAGAATTTGGCTAGGTTTATATACCTCTGGTCAGCTTAAAAAACATTAGATAATTTTCATTTGAAGTCAAAATAATTAACAAATTAGTAGCAAATTAGTACTTGAACTATATGTCACAAGTTTGTTTCATCTGCGTCTGAAATCAGACTGTTTAAGATATTAAATTGCTGAGATATCTCATGACTTCTTGCTAGCTATGTTAGCTGTCTGGACTGGTAATCAGTAGACAAAGGCACATGCAAATATTAAATGCTTTAGTGATAATTCAGATGCTTTAGTGACAATTCATTATTTAGTGATAATTAATGTAGCTTCTTTTCCTGAATGACTGTAAAAGCAGATTGTAGCTTTCTTGAACATCCTCATAATGAGGCTATATTTTTTTCAGACTACTTTTACCAATTTCCCCCCACCTTTTTAAGTAAAGGTAAGCAGATCACTCCCTGCAGGTTACAAACTACTCAAAGAGATCTCCTTCTTCCATTTTTCTTTTTTTCTTAATAGAATGACAGATGAAGAGAGAAATGAAATGGAAAAGCAAGTCAGATCCCTCCAGGAGAGCTACAGCTTGTTATCCAGTGAGGCTTTGAAGCAGCTGCAGGAATCACAGTATCTGGGTGATGAAAAGATGGAAGAAAAGGTAACAAGAGTGAAACTTACCTTTCAGTCTCTTCTGAGATTTACTGCATGGTTTTGGAACCACATGTGATCCGTAAAAGAAGCAGCTGCAATTAACAGTGTGTAAAGGAACTTGAGATTTAATTGACTGAAGGTTTTGTGTATTTGCTATGGAATACTGTGTGTGACCTGTGCATATGAACATTCTGCTCATCAGGTTTTTTGTGAAGAGTCTTAATAATGTGTGCCTTGCATGAAGAAAGATAAACAAATCATTCATCTCTTAACTCTTCTCTTAAAAGCCATTCTTTGACTGCTAGATAGGTCTGTATTTCTGCTGCAAAAATGACACCATAAAATAACACCTTAATCTCTCCCATATATCACTCAGGAGTGTCCTAGAAGAGATCTACTTTCAGATTTTTTTAAACTTTATCTGGATATGAAAATGGGAGCACATAATGTGATTAGCTCTGAGACACTACAAATACATTTGTTAATGGATCTTAATCTTAAATACGGAATTCCCAAAAATTATTTTGCAAATGAGTGTTCTCATATAAACGGAGAGGCAGTGTCTGTGTAATTAGTTCAAATAATGTTGCCAAACTGACTTCATGCTTCCCATGCAAAGTAAATGCAATATTTGGTGCTAGAGTATCTGATTCCGTATTGTTGAGTGTATATACAGAAGTGCTGTATGCTGTAAACATGAATAGCATGGTTGTTTTGAATCACATACTATTTCCGAATATTCTAACCTTTCACAGACATTTAGAGCATGAAAATTTGCCTTTCAGGTATATGTTCTATTTGCTCACTCTGCAATCATTTCTTCTATTGTCTTTCACTAACCCTATTTATATATGCAAAGCATAGGTTTTCAATTCACAGATGCATGTTGATTTTAAATCTTTTATCACATCGTGTGCTGTTGAATGACTGACATAGATCATTTGCGCATTTGAGCTGCTAACACTCACAACATTCCTCCAGGCCTGGTAAGTACATGTTTCTATGCTTATCACGCATTCAAAATCAAAAGAAAATTTAAAATATACAGTCTGAAAATAGTGATAGCTTTTCTTTTATATTCCTTTTTAGGTGAATAAAGTCATTGCTGGTGTCATTGACCAAACGACTGGAGAAGTCCTTTCAGTCTTTCAGTCTATTTTAAAAGGTTTTATTGACTATGACACTGGAATTAGATTGCTTGAGAATCAGCTGATCCTTTCTGGAATCATTTCTCCAGAATTAGGATTATGTTATGACTTGGAAGAAGCTAAAGCTCATGCCTTAATTGATGAGCAGATTCTGTTGCAGTTGCAGGAATTAAATAATGCAAAGAAGCTTATTTCAGAATCATCATTATCAAATCTTCCAGTTGTATCAGCTTTAGAACAAGGTCTAATTTCAGAACCTTTGGCTATTAAAATTCTTGAGAATCAGCTTTCAAGTGGGCACTTGATTTTGCCATCTACTGGAGAAAACCTGACTTTGCAGAATGCTTTCCAGAGAAACCTGATTTCTCCGCCATTATATACAAAGCTTCTGGAAAGACAAGACACATGTAAAGATCTCATAGATCCCAACTGTGGTGAGAGGATTTCCCTTGAACAGATGATTCGTAGAAGCATAATACATGAAGAAGGGTTAAGACTCCTACCTGTGAAACCACAAGAAAGAGGTAGAATCACATTCAAATGTGGAAGGAAGATAACTATTTTGAGGGCAGCCCATGAAGGACTCATCGATCGGGAAACAATGTTCAGGCTGCTGGGTGCTCAGTTAATGTCTGGAGGTATAATTGACCCTGACTCCGGGAAGCGAATGACTGTGGAAGAGGCCATGAGACAAGGGATGATAGATCAGGACACTGCTTGTGGGATCCTCACACATCAGGTTCAGACTGGTGGAATACTTTGTCCAAATTCAGGACAACGCTTGACTGTTGATGAAGCTGTACAATGCAACTTAATATCATCTACCAGTGCACTGCTGGTATTAGAAGCACAAAGAGGCTTTGTTGGACTAATTTGGCCTCACACTGGTGAAATATTCCCCATATCAACTTCTTTGCATGAAGAGATGATAACAAATGAGCTGGCATTCAAAATACTAAATGATAGACAGAAAATAGCTGCACTTTACATTCCAGAAACTTGTGAAATAGTCAGTCTAGATAAGGCTGCACAATCAGGGATAATAGATATCAATACTGTATCTGTTTTGACCAATGTGACTTTACCAGATAAAATGCCTAATGTAGAAGAATTAGAGTCGCCTTGTAAAAATGCTGCAAAATGGTTAACGATGTATGAATTCCTGCCATCTGTATTTCATGATTGTGAGGAGGAACGTGAAACTACTGGCAGAGAAGACCCTGTATGTCATAATTTGGATCAAGCTAAGAAATTATTCATAGCTTATCTGATGGTAAATAGTTATATGGATGCAAACACTGGAGGAAGACTTTTATTATATGATGGACAACTGCAAGAAGCCATCAATATGTTGCTGGAAGGTGATGGTGCTGCGTACAATGCCGATGTGTCAGAAATGGAGTTTAATAACAAATACATAAGCTCAAAAGAAATTAACCTAAAGTTGGCTGGCAGTATTCATTTTAATAATGTCATAGGCAGTGTTCAGGGTGATCTTTCAGGTGCTGAGAATACTTCTAATAACAGGAAATTAAATGAGTTTGAAGATTTTGGAAATTACATATCTTTACAGGGAGAAGATCTCCAAGTGTGCAGACCAGATGTTTGCAATGCTATTGGTACTGAGCAATCAGAATATACGCAGGAGATGTTGTTAACCAACCCTGCAGAACTTAGAAATGTAGTAAGTAACACTCAAAATTCCATGAAGATAAATGCACTCAGAGGTCTTCCAGAGGTTTATGAGTGGACAGAACTGCGTAAGCATAACAGTCAGAAGGCAAGTTCAGGAAACATTGAAGGATATCTTCCAAATTACTCAAATCCAAATCTTATTGAAGAGAAAGAAGAGATTTATATGGCAGACAGTATGGGTAATGAAAACAGGAATGATAAAACCTTACAAAATTCCTTGAGTGTGAATGACTTGTCAGATAATGAAACCTGGAGAGAGCTGGAAAGGTGCACAAAATACAGGCCTTGCATATTGCAAGCTGACAATAGCAGAATGGTACTGGATAACAGCAAGAAAGATGATTTTCAGAGAAGTCTTGGTTCATCCATCAGTGCAGATACTGAATATAGACTTCCAGAAGAATTGGTTAGTCGATGTGGTGACACACTACAGTTTGAAGATAATGAATATAGTGAGCAACCTTTACAGAACTACGCTGATGTATATAACAGGCCATCCCTAGAGGACTATCTTTATGTACATGGCAGGCCATCCTTGGAGGATTGTACTGATTTGCAGAGTAAGCTGTGTCTAGAAGACACTGGAGACATGCGCTGCAGGCCGTCACTGGATGGCGATACTGTTATACATGGTGGACCACCTGTGGGGGACAGTAACAGCACAGCACAAAGGCTAACAGTAGAAGAAAGCAATCTTACATTTGATAAGTTACTGCTGTGTGACAGTAGTTCTGACTCATCAGTAGAAGGGAGTGATGGCATCCCACAGTTTGAAAGTAACTGCTTGCAGCATGAACGTGGTGAGGTAGCCCCTGAAGATGACAGCTCTCAGTTTGATGATGATGACGATGATGCCTATGAAACACCTCAGGTTGATGATGATGACAGTGATGTTTATGATACTCCACAAATTGATGACAGTGATTCTTACGACACTCCTCAAGGTGATGATGGTTTTGATACCTTGCAGTTGGGGGATGATGATACACCAGAGCCAGAATTGTCTGGAACATCAGTTCCATTAGGTTTTCTAGAGGAGAGAGGTGGTCTAATAACCCTGAGAGAAGACACCAGCTTTTTTCAAGAACTTGCAACTCATGCTGGAGAGAGTGTTCATGTAGATCTGACAGGTCTACCTGAGAGCGTAAATATAACTTCTACAAGTGTTGAAACTATGGAAAGAATCCTTGAGGAGGAAAAGAAAAGAACAGGGAGCTTTGGAGAGAAGGAGGAAAAATTGCCAGTTACTCTGGAGAGCGAAGGAATAAAGGAGGGAGGCCTTAGTTCTTTACAGAAGGTGTATGAAGCAGAAGTACGAGACAGAAATGAGGAAGATGAAATGAAAGTGGAAAGTGACTCCTATGAGGATGAATCTGAAGATACACAGGAGGAGGAAGATTATGAGGAGAATTATGATAGTTATGATGACTCTGACACTGATTCTGATAGTGATGGAGAAATGGGTATTTTTTATTCACATCATCAATGTATAAACAAAGGTGACCAGCTGTTAATTTCCTTAAGAGACATAGAAAATAGTGATGAAAATAATCAGAATATTGATGCCTGTTGCTATTCTTTAGGCCACAAGACAGGATATACTTTGCAATTCCAGTCTAACCATGAAAATGGAAAACTATCCTCAGGAAAATGTGAATCTGCATCAGATGTTTCTGAGGAAAGATGTGTTAGTTTTACATGTACAAGTGAAGAAGACAGACAGCAGGAAACAGAAGATGAATATGGGACTTGCGTCAAAAGTAAACACGTGTCACAAGATACTATTAAGCCTATTCAGTCTGAAAATACCTTTGACACTAAATGGACATCCTGTAAGAGTGAAGAAAATAATAAAACACAGCTTAAGGTTCCAAGTTCTCAGCTTCTTGATGATACTGTGACATCTGACATTAGCGTAACAGCCTTCCTAATTACAAAGCAAGCTACTGATGATGATGAAACTACTCGGACAAATTCGCTTCACTCAGAATGCTTTATTGATAGCATGAATAAAAACAATAGTACCATGCCAATGTTACGTTCAAATCATGGGCAGAGACAGAGAGAAGCAGTATTTACAGAGGAAAAAGTATTAAATGATATGGCTGGTATGGAACAACTAAAGCAAAGTTCATCCCAAATGGACAATAAATTCCTTATGGATATGCCTTATGTGAGTGATGGTGATAGTTTACTTAGTGACCGAGTACATCCACTCACCAGTTGGAAACATGGTCAAATAGGAAGAGGTTTTGAAATTCTTACAGAAAATAAAAATAGACTAAATATTAAGGAGGAATGTGATATCTTGGGGCTAAGTAAAAGTCCCATTCAGATGGAAAGCCTTGGGGAAATATTTGATGCATCAGTAAATAAAGGTGATAGAGAAACTCCTGTTTCAAGTAAAGAAAAAGTAAATGTTGATCAAGCTTTGATTGGAGGTGGTGCGAAATCAGATGAATTTAAGAGAGATTTTAACATTTCCGCTTCTTTAAAACAATCTACAACAGACATAAAAGAAGGCGGCCATTCAGAATTGGATAAAACTGAATCCTGTTGCTTTGAGGACAGGTTTTTTTTAGAGGGAAAAAAGGTGTACAGAATAAAAAGGATTTTCTGCTAAATATGGAAGAAATGCATTCAAGTGAATTTAACCCTTATTCTTTTCCCCCAACTGATACAGTAAAACCGAAGGAAATTAGCATAACTAAAGAAACGGGGAGAGTTATCTGTCAAAATACTAACAATGTTATTAAAAACTTTTCAGAAAACAAGAGCAGCAATGATAGTGGTTTTTCCCCAATAAAAGCAGATGCTTTAGGAAGTATTGAGGATGCTAAAGAATCAGGGGATGGGAGTGAAGTGTTACCTTCTGGGAGTCATACCCATACCACTGATGTTTCTTCTGCAATTCTGAGCAGCATAGGGGCTGGCTTGAATTATGGTGCCCAGAAAGAACATGAGACGCTGCAGAATACAAAGGGAGAAAATTTCACGGTCAGTGAGACTTATTCCGTTGGAAATTATTTCAAAAAACAAATGTCCATGGAGTCATTACAAGAGGAAGTGGGACCCTGCAAAGATTTTCAAGTCAAGGAACATGTTTCACAATCGCCAGAAATGTCTGACACACTAATGGAAGACTTAAAGAATATATTACGAAGGAAATTGAAAATGGGACGTGTTTACTGCAAGCAGGAGGGTGAACCCTTAAGTTACTCTGATACCAAAATTTTAATGCAAAATTTATTTACAATGGTTAGAAGCACCCAGCTTGGGATTGATACGTCTAGTGCGTCAAATCTCAAGCAAATAAGCAATGCTGTTAGAACTGCATTAATGGTCACCACACCGCGTACCGAGCCAAAAGACAGTGATGCTCTTTCATTGCTTTGGCCTGATTGCAGAAGTCCTGATCTTCTTCGTGATATTCTGAAGCAGGAATCCTGCAAGCAAAAGATGGATGATCCAGGTGAAAGGAACAGTGAAACAGATGTGAAAGCTCCTGTTACTACTTCTGAACTTCTGGAAATCTTTCAAATCTCACGTGGAGATGAAAGTACAAGCAAGTTAGAGGAGCTGCTAAGTGGTTTGCTTACGAGCTCACAGGTTGCTGGTATCACCACAGAATGTGAGGGTAAAGGCAAAGTAGGTGGGCTTTGTACTCTTCTCTCAACAGAACAATCAGAGTTTGGATCAGAAATTGCTAAAGAGAAAACATTGGCAGACGACGCAGCCGTTGATTGGAAAAGTGACCAGGAGCATGGGAAGACAGACAGCCTGTTGAAAGGCTTTACTGAGCTTGTTTTTGAAACAAAAGAAACAGTCCTGGAAGACACCCCCACTAGCATGGTAAGTAATGGCAGCTGGTATGTGATGTGTGTCCTGTGTTAAAGGAATTGCATGAATCCTTCCAAGTGCTGGAGAGAATAATTAAACTGGAAAAATGGTTGAAAAATTAAATGATAGATTTAAAATAAATTGTAATTAAAACAAAGTCTTTTATTGCTTACTTTCAAGTCTGTCCATTTGGAGAACCTTTTCTTATTGTTAAAACTCATTTTCAGGTCGATGGAGTACAGCAATGTTCAAAGTTAATAGAGAAAATGCGAGGACATTTGGCAGTGCTTCAACATATGAAAAGCCACCTACATAACCAGCAGCCTATTAGTAACAACCTGGAAATACTAAAAGATGAACTGGAACAACTAGAGGTAAGTAAAGTGTTCTTTATGCTTGTATTTCAGTGATGGGTGCTAGGAAAAGCCCTTAGATAAAGAAAGAGGCATTTCAAATACAATTAAAGTAATTCAGATTTAAATGTCTTTCTTGCTTAGTCACTTAATGCATTTTATATATATTCTCTTTGTAGTCATTTGAATCAGGACTGGCTACCTTTGCAATTATCCTAAAAAAGGACATGAAGTTGACAGAAGAATTTTTAAGGTTTTGTAACAGGGATATTCCTGACGAGAAACTTAAAGAGCTAAAGATAAGCTATGACTATTTGCAGGAAGCATTTTTGGTGGTCTGTGAAACATCTTCGAAACGAGCAAAACAAATAGTCTGTGCTGTTGACTCAGAAATGGTATGTTTTTATCAGTGTACATTTTTACCTTAGTTTTCCTCAAGGTAATTTGGCTAAAAAGAAGGCATTTGTTTTAGCTTTATTTTGTTTTATCTTAATATAAAAATACATGTATGATTTAATATGATAGAAAATGTGACTAGACTCCAGGGGCATAAATAAATATACAACTTCCCTTTCTAGTCTAAGCTTGCAGTATTACACCAGGAACTTTTAAGCAAACTGCAGAGATTTTCAGACTGGATCACAGAAAACAGTAAAATTGTGAATGACTTCATGGTGAATACTAATGATATAGAAGAGATGAAGAAAAGTTTACAGCTATTTAAAGTAAGTATTGTTTGGTGTTGGTGCTTCTGACAAACGTTGCTACTTCTTACGAATTATTAGCTAGGTTTTGTATACCTGCTCATTAACCTCTATTGCTTAAACAGACCACTAGAACTAATTACTTAAGAAGATAACTACTTGATAATCCAGTAATAAAATCTTGTTGATTTGCTTTTTCTCTTGAAAAAATTATTGATCAAGTTTGGCTTACTGAGAAAGCTGTTGGATCTGCTTACATTTGTTGCAACAAATCTGACCCTTTTTGGAAATCTAATTTATAATACCTATATTTTAGTGATTAAGATTGGATCTTTATGCATAAGGTCCAGAATCTTTACTGAAGTTTAATTACCTTCCAAATCAATTATATGTGAGAACAGAAGATGAGGAAAGATAAAAAGCCTCTTCATTACACACTCCATGAAATGAGTCATAAAAAACAAATCAGATCAAATTTTTAGTAAAGTTCATACACCTCTGTATGTAAGAATGATAAAAATGACATTATTTTACTGTGCTTTAGGAGGGTTCCAGTATGCATGGTAATGTCATAGGGGCTGCATAGTGCGTAGCTGGAAGTGGGGCTTCCCGCTGTGGAGTTATGAAGAGGAATGCTTTCAAGTAAATATTTTAACATTTCTGGGTCTTCAGACCTAGAACCTAGAAATGTTAAACCTTATCTGCCATAAATCTTCCAGAGTTGAAGGTCAGCCAGTTTTCAGACATCCAGGAGAGAGCAAAGAAACAGAGATGTTCAAGGTCATCTTATTTGTTACTTGGACATGGACTGTCCCAGAGGCAAACCGTGCACAAATTCAAATGTTGTATCTGAATGTGTCAGAATGATTCTGACAGAGAGTTTTGATTTACTGTGGCTAAACTGTCTCCCAAAATCATTTTGGAACAGGGGCTAAGAAGAGAAGGTAGTGACATATGTGTTTTATTTGCACTGAATTTGTCTTCATTGCTAGTCATTTCCTTCTCTCCATTTACAGAACAGTGCTGCAGAGCTCGGCTGTAAAAAAATGCAACTGGAGTCCACTGCGTTCGATGTTCAGTTCTTCATTTCTGAACATGCCCAAGATCTTTCTCCTCATCAGAGCAAACAGCTGCTGAGGCTCTTAAATACCACCCAGAAATCTTTTCAGGGAGTACAGGAAGCAATAATATCTCAAGTGGAAAGTTTAGAGACTCAGTTACAGGCAGCGCAAGAGCTGGGTGATAAGAAGGTTTGCCTTTCTGTGTAAATGTGTGCTGAGTGTTTTTGTCTATGGATGAGGAATTTTAATACCAGCATGCAGTATTAAGTATATTCCTATCTTCTCAATTTTACTACAGATACATTCATAGTTCTACAGAGACGATATTGATCAAGTCTGGTGAATTGTCATTTTTGTCTTTCCTTGGTATAGTCACAGAAACAGCATATTAGATTATGAACAGACACAGGTTTGGGCATTAGGATCTGTACAGCCTGAGGTAACCAGGTCTGCTCTTTCTAGCAATGAGAGAAATTTACTTGAGTTTTCTCACAGGTGTTGTTTGTTTAGCAGCTATATCAATAATTAAAGCGCTATTGATCAATGAATTTACTATCCCACCTCTGAAGACTTTCTTTACCTCTGATTTGCCAGGTCGTCTGCTTATGTGATCTTTTTCTAGATCTTTATAGTCAAAGAACCAAATTTGTTAAATCCTTGCTACCATGGCTTGTTTTGACTGAGACAGGTTAGAGGGACAAACATATGAGTAAATCAGCTAAGATATTTTGCAATTCTAGCCATGGGCACTGGGAAAGCTCTGAGTTAAGTTGGGACCGTTACCTCTTCAGCTGGCATGGCTGCAGTTGGCAAGCATAAGCAGCCTTTGCAGAGCCAAAGGAGGCTGATAAGATGCTGCAGTGTAACTGCATCTTGTTTTCTCTCACCGAAGCACTGTTAAGACTCAGAATCACCACCTCAACCCTGTTTATGCAAAACGAAAGGTGGCTGAAAGCATTCTGATGACTTTGTATTATTTTACCATTTCTTTCTACCATACTTTGTCAAAGAAACATAAAATGGAGTAAAAGAGAGGCATAGATACTTTTCTAGGACTTAGTAACAATAATGAGCTTGCATGTTTTGTTCTTTTATACTGCTTAAAAAGTCAGCATTTTCTATTCAGGTAACATTGTGCATACCAACAAGAGCTAACTCACAATCACAACTAACCTCTCTTTTGATGTCCTTTTTTCAGAATTAATAGTGTTTGTCACAGGTTTCAGCGGTTAAGAGACTGGATTTTCACTCCTGTTGTTTGGAGATTTCATCTTTCACATATGTGCATGGCCAGACTTCTATTGGGCAATTCCATCAAACATGGTCTCTTTTACTTACAACATATTTGAGGTTTATCCATAATTTCTGTATGTTCATCTTCCTCTTTGTACCACTGCTATCATGTTTACAGCATACTTTTAAGATGATTGCTTTGCAATATTGATGTTCAGAGGTAATTCCTATTAGAGTGTCTGTTAGTTGCTGAAGTGAGGACGTTTTTGTTTTATTGTTTGATTGTATTTGGCTCTAATGTAGGATGTGGCTGAACGGCAGCAGGCAAGCAAAGAGAAACTGCAGGAAATCTGTGATTTGCTTACACAGACTGAAAATCGACTCATTGGACAGCAAGAGTCTCTTGTTATTGGAGACAGCAAGGCTGAGCTAGAACAATACCAGACTAAACAGGAGGTATGCACAATTTTAGTCAGATAAGTTAAAGAAGGCTGAGTGCAGAGGAGAGTGACAAGACTCTTTTGTTGAATTACAAGACTGTCATGTGAGAGGAGAGTAAAATAGACTTGTTTGACCTACCAGAAGTAATGGCTTAATGGCGTGCATTTAAACTGCTGTCCCTGAATACACTCCAGTATGTGCCGGTGGGAGAAGAAAAACTTTCAGACTAGAAGATACTAGAAAATGTACTAGACATTACAAGAAGCACTCTTGGAGCAGGCATGAAATTTGTTATATGGATCTTTAGCTTAAGATTGTTCCTGTCAGATATGATAAAATCAAACTTGTTTATTACACTAAAATAATTTAATCAACTTTTTAACTGGTTTCAGGGAGTGCTTATTCCTTTTCACAGTATTTTGAAGAATTTTGCTGCAAGGCTTTCTCTTGCCTGAGGCTTTTCATTGCCTCACTCTTGTTTTGGTTTGAATTCTGTTTTTTCTAGTGTTGCTTGCAATATCCTTGGTGTCCTTGTGTAACAGAGCCCTCTCAGTTTGCTTGCTTTCGTATTGAGACCTTGCTTTTCAGCTGTATCCTGTCGTCTGTAAGCTTTTACTCTGTTCTGACTGATGCTAATTGAGTTTATGATAGTTAAAGGACTGAAGGACTTGGTACTACTCTTCTTCCTCCTTCTCCTAGTAGTAGTTCACTATACTGTAGAGCTCCAAATCAGGTTTAGTAATCTATAAAGGCAAAAATTTCCTTATTCATCTTGATTTGCTTTACTTATCTTCAAAATAACACACCTAGTTTGTCAAAGTTCTCCTTGTAGTCAGTGGAAGGATACAGACAACCCTGGGATACCTCTTAATATCTGTTACCTGTCTTAAGAATTTATGACCTACATGGGGTACCCATGGGAGTGAAGAACTGAGATAACATATGCTTCTTTTTTTTTTTCATCAGCTGTTTGTGACTGCCTAGCAGAGTAGTTGTTACTTGCTGACTGATTTCTTGTAGACACCATTGTAGAAGTGTGTCTCAGGAGGGGGATGGGGGCTTATGAAAGGTCTTTTATAGATCAAGTCAGAGCTTTCATCCTCAGTGAGCTGGTTGAAAAGGAGCACAGAGATCTTTGTCAGAGAGGGAGAATCTTGTCTTGATACAGTGTCCCCAGGAAAATCTTTCTAACATGCTTGCTGAAGTGTTAAAACGAGCTGCAGTTTCAACTGCCTAACTATATTCTATAACTGCTGCAAAATCTGTAGTCTAGAATGAGAATCAAATGTTTTATCTTGCAGCTTCAAGAGTGTTACAATTACTTCAGTAACTGGGTGAATGTATTCAACAGCATAATTATTGTTATAATTAAACTCCTCTCAGGTAACTGGGAGGCAGATTTTTTTATCTGACTCTATCATAGGACTAGGCAAACTGCTTTGGATAAACTAAACCTAAACATCTGTCCTGACTTAAGCATTCTTTGAAGATTGAAATATTATGGTTGATTACAATTAAAGAAAAATATTCATACGGCACTTTTGGCCTGAACAAAACCAAGAAATATGGGAAAACTTCCACCTGGGAACGATGACTACAAGTTTATAACTTATTCAGTCCCCTTGTTTTCTGTTAAGATAGTAATGGAATGGAATTTGTCAGGAGACTCACCTTACTAACTACAGTGTAGCAGATTTACTTTATATCTTGATATCTAAAAAATAAGATATATTTTCTTCTGTGTACATGGAAATAAAATATTTGAGCTGCCAAACAAAGGAAAAAGGTGGCCTCACTCTGGATAGGAGTGTAAGCCAACAGACTTGCAATTTAAAAAAAAAAAAAGACAGATTGAGCTGCAGCAACGTTGTCAGATGTTGAATTGATTTTATTTTTTTTAATAATCCTATCTGCAAGTAATGTATCATGTACTCTCCCAAGTTAAAAAGGACCAATGTGGTGCTTGCCCCTAGAACTGAGAGAGTTCCAATAAAGTTAGTTGGAAAGATCTGGTCAATAATTTGCTTACTCCTATTTGCTTTCTTTTTTCTCAAAAGGAGATACAAAAAGACATGAGAATGAGTGCCCAGACACTGGCAGAGATTGTGAAAAATACTGAAACCTTCTTGAAAGAGGATGGAGAGAAGTTGTCACAAGAGGACAAGACTATTCTTGAACAGAAACTGAATGAAGCTAAGACAAAGTGTTTGCTCCTTAGCCAGAAGGCAGAAGAGTCCAAAAAAGAACTGGATAAAGCTATGACAACAGCAATTAAGCAGGAAACAGAAAAGGTTTTTAGGCAACCATTTCATACCTTTATTCAAACTTTTTACGTGTCTTAGGGGATTAGTCTTGCAACTTATTGTTCATATACTGTGGAGAGATTAAAATCACCTTTCATTTGGGTGACTAATAAACTGTTTGCTGGTTTATTTTCTTTATAAAATAAACAGCAACGTGTATGTCAATCAAAAATTTTGTTTAATGTTAATGTATTTTAAATGGTCTGTTTGCATATGATATTTTGTAGTGCCTAAAGAAGATTTCTAAACTGAAACTGTAAAATTTCAATGTAGGTTGCAGCTATAGAACAGCTGGAAGAAAGTAAAAATACAATAGAAAATCTCTTGGATTGGTTATCAAATGTGGATAAAGAAGCGGAGCATGGCCGGAAATTTAAGCAGGTGATAGAACAGAATGGAACACACTTTGAAGAGGGAGATGTGAAGACTTTGGAAGGAGAGGAGGATGATGTCAATGGTTTTTTTGACATTGAAACTCAGGTGGATGGACTAGTAAAAAGCACAGAAGATAATCTGAACCAGCAGTATCAGAAAGTCAAGGTACTGTTACTGGGTTTATTCAACATTTAGGTGCTAAATGTGTCAGTCCTCATTCAACATGAGTAAATTCAATCTCATCTTTTTTGTCATAGACTTTGGAACAGGAACTAGGCAGTTAGTGATATACAGTGGTAGGAATTTCAGTAGTTAGTATGTATTGCAAATTTGTCACTTTTTCACTGTTACTGTGGTTGTTTCCTGCAAAGTAAGAAAAAGGACATATTCTACAAGGTAAACGTTGAGAATCCTGATGGTGAGTCTATCCTTAATTTTTATAGTGAGAATTTAATGCAGGTAAATAAAATGCAAAAAGCAGCAACATAAATTTATACCCTTTATATGACTTTTTCAAAAATCTTTGTAGTAGCCAAATGATTCAACCCCCTGCAATTCCCTGTGAACACTGATTACCAAGAGCTGCAAATAATAGTTTGCTGAAATGATAATCTTCATTCACTGTAACTTTAACACATGGGCAAAGTACTATTTGAAGGCTTCAGAAGGATGAGTTACAAAAAACCACAGCACAGAATTTTAAAAATAGATTTTCCAGGTAAGACAATTGGAAGCATTTAAAATAATAAGAGCTCAGTTTTATGGCTTTTGTTGACTTACAGTTGAACAACCAAGAACTTTTTTAGGTGTGGTTTGATGGACATGTTGATGAAAATGATAATGTTGATAGCTAATACTATTTTTGTTTTCCTTTCTTATTAAAAAAAAAAAAAAGAGAAAATGAGATAATTTGGTTTTGTGTACATAATGTTTTTACTTCCACTTTTTTGACAGCTCTTTTCTGCACCTAATGCCCACAGGATAATTGCCCACTGTACTCATGGAAGAAAAGCATACCAGTCTATTTTACATAGGTGTTTTATATTGGAATACAGGACCTTCAAGAATGGAGATTTTTTGAAAGAATCTATTTGAAATATGGATTTTATTTGGCATACAGTTCTAGTTCCTATGACTTACTGGTTTTTTTATGAGATTGAAACAATTTACATGCATAGAATGTGTCTCAATTTTTAATGTCAAAAGGACCCGTTTTATGACCAAGTATATTTGATAAGAATCACTGGTCTTGAAATTGAAAAATCAAATTCAAAAAATTGGATAATAATGTTTGTCACTCAGTATAAGAAGAAAGTGTCTGTATTCTTTTTAATGTTTGATGCTTTCACTCCTTTTGGTTTGGCTCTTGAAATGGTAGTTACAATTTATGTAACAGGAAATGGAACAGTTTTGATTTGGAAAGTTGCCTACCTTTGAATGCTTTATTTGATAAATCTATTTTGAGACAGGGAATTGGGAAAATTTTGTTACACTAAGCACGCTACCCTAAAAGTTAAGAAATAAGCAAATAATTTTTATTAGGAAAAAAATTAAGAGAATGGTAATGTCTAGTTTTACTACACAGAGTTGTCTTTGAGAAGTACAGGGCAAAGTGTTTGTGTTGATATGCATCCTAGTATTTCTGAGTTCCAGTGATATTTGAAGACTCCCATTTGGTTGTGGCCTGTATATCTGGCTAAAATTACCACTGGATGTTTCATAAAATTTTGAAACTGCACAGAAATATGATGACGAGGAGTCATGCTTTCACTTAAATTACTCACAAAATGTTTTTTAATAAATAATACGAAAATTAGAAAAGCTTTTTATCATTTTGATGGACTTTGTTTTACTCGTCGTTTCTAAGCAGAATTCAGCAGAGATTTCAAGACAATAATGGTCTAATGAAACCATCCAAGAAGGTGCTGGTCATAATTTTTTTTTTTTTCTTGTAGGCTCAACATGAGAAAATTATTTCACAGCAGCAGGCTGTCATAGTAGCAACTCAGTCTGCTCAGGCACTGCTTGAGAAACAAGGGCACTACCTTTCCCCTGAAGAAAAAGACAAGATGCAAAGGAACATGAAAGAGCTGAAGGCTCAGTACGAGACTGCTTTAGCTGAATCAGAACGGAAGATGAAGCTGACTCATTCTCTGAGAGAAGAACTTGAGAAATTTGATGCAGACTATAGTGAGTTTGAAACCTGGCTGCAGCAGGCAGAACAAGAACTTGACAATTTGGAGGCAGGTGCTTCTGACTTCAGTGGTATTATGGTCAAACTGAAAAGGCAGAAGAGTTTTTCAGAAGATGTTATATCTCACAAAGGTGATTTACGGTATATTACAATTTCTGGACAAAGAGTTTTAGATGCTGCAAGGTCATGTAGTAAAAGAGATGGTGTGAAGGTTGACAAAGATGGTATCGATACTTCGGCTACATATGCTGAAGTGCAGAGTAAACTGGATAGCGCTTCAGATCGTTTCAAATCTCTCTATACTAAGGTAAGTTTTACTTATACTGAGTAGAAAAGACTACTATAATTGATTTGGTAGCTTGTATAAAAAGGGATTAGCTGATGAAACAAATACTGCGGGAAGTTGTAAATTCTTTGTTTCTTAAAGTTAGATAACAGAACAAGATGATTTTCTAGAAGATCTGCTTTAGTCAAGCGCCAGACTATTTAAGGTCTGAATGGATGAAATTTTCTACATTGTGTTAGAAGGGAGAAATCAGACCAGATTTCCTCATTGTTCTTCCCAGCCTTAAACAAACTCTTTGAGTTTATGACAGTATGGGATATCTGAGTAACATTTTGGGGTGGAAAGAAATTGTAATACTTTCAGATGGATAACATTTCTTTATGTTCCTTGCAATATTTCCCACAACTGCTTGTTTACTTGGCTTCCTACTAATAAAATGAATATAGAAAAAGAGAGACTATGCCAAGATTAACGTTCAAAATTTCAATTTGATTTGTATCCTGAAATAGTTTGTCCCAGTGTGACCTTTGTTGTCAGCACTAGGCATGCAAGAACATAATGATTTGAGGATAGCAATTCTTTTCCACTACTCTGCCAAATAAACATTTTATCCTTAATAATCTGAGATTAGTCTCTAACTAATGGGAAATTAGCAGTGCAAAATCCCCAATGTACCTTAGAGAGGGCAGATAATCCAGCTAGTCTGTGCCAGGTTCACATATGGAATCTGTCTGGTAGAACTAGACAAACATCACCAACTGGTCTCAGATTCCAACTTTCCAGCTGTTTTCAAAAAACCAACAGAGTGTTGTTCAATACTGATAATATTCTGGAATTGTAAGCTTTTGAGATAATTATTAATTGGACCATTTAAGAGACAGTTGCTGTCGGTATCCTTTGACTATGCCATTTCATAATTTTCAAAGATCATAGGTTCAGTCTCCTTAGTAGAGCTTCAGTGTCCACTGATACAGTGTTGGTTTGCAGCAGTAGCCATCTTTGGGAATTTTTGTCTAATGTTTTCTTGCTCAGAAACGTAAATTCTGTAAAGACATGGTTTTGGTCGCTTGATTACAAAAACAGTGTAAACCCTATTCTCTCAAACAGTTTGTGAAGGCTCTCCATATACAGAAGCTCATTTTCATTTCCCCACTTAACTTATATGAACAGTGAAGCTAAAAGCTTGTATTAACATGTTAGATTTCCTCCAGCTGATTTATTGGATTAGTTTGAGTGTGAATGTAAAGATTTCATTGCAGAATTTTCACAGAGCTTATTTTTATGCATATAAAAATCCTACGCCAGCAGCTTGATTTGTGCTCTCAGATTTGTCAGCTTGCCAAATTCTATTCTTTCCATATATACATTTAGCATAGATGTAATAAACATGCTTTAAATATTTGACCAGAATATGCAGACCAAAACCAACACAAATTAGACTTTTTCTTATTGAATTGAGTCTTGAAGGACAGACTTTTAAAGTGAGATCTTCCAAGTTGTAAATGGGTTTGTAGTAACCTTTCTGCCTTTTGTAAAAGCTTCTTGCTTTTAGTAAATATTTATATTGCTTTTATTTTTTGTATATATATATATATATATTCGCACACACACACATATGAGTTTATAGGCTTACATATTGAAGGAATCTTGAAGTCAGTTCTTAGTTTACTGGTTATGTAAATGTGTGCATTCTATGTTTGGCCACCAGGTGGAGACCAAGTACCAAATGTAAATAATAAAATACAGTGTGTGGAAAGTTCAGCATATAAATTTTTGAAGTAACTGTTTATAAATATTATGACCTAATACAATCAGATTTTGCTTGCGAAACTATCTCCAAAAAGTCTGAAAGAGTTCCACTGACCTTTTTACATCATGATTCATTGTTTACGTTTTTGGGGCATGCTAACGTGCAGGACTAATAGGATCTTGGTCAGATGACATTCTTAAGTGACCAAAACAAAGCATATGTGCCATACTGAGCCATATCACTTTGGATTCGCTATGCAGATAAGGTATTTATGAAAGCAATACTCTGCTGACTGGATTTTAATGAACATATGTGTATCTTCTGATTTTTTTTTGAAAATTTCTAGCTTCCACTGGCTACATTTTTGGTGTCAGAGTGCTGATAAAGAATCTTTACGTTTGTGGATCAAAAAGTCTTCCTAAAGCTTTCCCTATTCTAGTACAATGGGCTAGATTGCAGTTTCCCACCTGCATCAGTGACTTGATCCTAAATCACGCTTGAGGAGCACAGACTGGGAAGACCTGCGTAGCCTGTCCAGCTGTCGTGCCTTAGTTCAGAAATCAGTTAGACAGTGGAATGATGACAGGAGAAAATCATGCAGTATTTCAGGAAGGAAAGTATGACCTTGAGTATGGAATGAAATGCAGCACACAGTTTAATGCCTGGGTATTTGCTTGTTTGTTTTCTACTCTTTTAGTGTAGCATTCTTGGAAATAACCTTAAAGACCTGGTGGATAAATACCAGCATTATGAAGATGCCTCATCTGGACTTTTGTCAGGTCTCCAGGCCTCTGAAATAGCTGTGAACAAACAACTATCAGAGCCAGTTGCAGCGGATCCCAAAAATCTCCAAAGACAACTAGAAGAAACCAAGGTGAAAAGCTTTAGAAAGCAGAAGTACTTCTGTCCTAAAAGAAACTGCTTTTTGTCTGAAAAACAGGATAATCTAATATAATCCAAGAGGCTGCAGGCCAAGTTCTTGCCTTGCACGTGGGCATAAAACTTTTATAGTTCTCAAACTCAGCTGTCCAGAGTGTTATCTGAAAAGCACTAGGGTGAAAAAAAATGGGGGACCAAGATGCCATTAGCAGTGGTGAAAGCAAGATGTGTTTCATATCACTTAGCAATTGATAGGGTGAAATCTGGAAAGTTTTTCAACTAAGAAAGGGTTTAGTGATTACAGTTTGCTATCAGAGTAGGGCTTGGGACTGAGTTCCTGATAGAGAAGACCACTTGATGTTTGTTGTCTGTGACTCTTGCCTTTTTTCTGTTTGCATTTGTGTGTTACTGCATTATGAAAGGGATCATGCTGGATAAGCAGTGTGATGCGACTAGTCTGTTTGCCTGCTTCAGTTGTACCCAGTACTATATGCCCTGCAGAGATGAATATAACATAATTTGCACTGCATAGAAAAACAGTGTTTTGGTTTTTTGTTTGTTTTTTTTTTTTCCCCACTGAGAGAGTAACTCACAACTTTATGTAAATCCTAGAAGAGGCAAGACAGGTTAGTGATGGAGCTTGTGAAGGTAAAACTCCGGTTGGTTGCGTAAAATGTAGGTTTACAGAATGCTTTAGGAACCCAAGTATAAGGTGAGTTATATAAAGTTTCATACAGTCTGTTGTCTTTGAACTGGCTCTTATATTTTCATAAACACATTCATCTGTACTATAATTAAAATGCAAGATTATTTATTTTTCAGTGACCAAAGCTGTTGGTCAGGCATTTCCTCACTGTTCTGTCTGTGCTATGTGGAGTATCTGTGCAGGTCTGATATGTTTGCTATTGACAAATGATAGTCAGTGTCCCTTGGAAAGTATGTGCTTTAACCATTTCCCTTACATCAGCCTGAGCAGTAGTTACCTTTACCGCATGGTATCTTTCAAATCTGACACTGGAATTGCCCAACACTTTGGTGCATGACGCATCAGAGGAGACACAGCAATGTTGTAAGACAACAAAATTAAAAGTGTAAATTTTAAACTCTTAACAGTGGAACAATTTAGGTACATTTGTACTTCCAAGTGCTAGAAAAGTAGGAGTAACACCAGTTACAATTTGAAGCTTCATTTAAACTTTTTGTTCCTTACGCCAAAATGAATTATATCCTGTATAATGCCAATTTTCATGCAAGTAATACAAAAGGAGTGAGTACTGGAGTTCTTTTATGAAACGCCTACATTACTTGCCACACAAAAGAGCACTCAATGAATATGAGCTGGGAGGAAGGGAGAGGGTACAACCTGTCAAAAGATTGAAAGGAAGAGAAAAAACAGGAGGCTAAAGAAAGCAAGCCAATTAATGAAAGCAAACCAAAGAGTATTTCTGAAGAAGTCAGGTGTTGCAAGTTAAAGCTGTCCCTTGTAGCCAACACATGCAGCTGATAATCCAGCTAGACACAGACCTTGGCAGCATGGTGGGGTCTAATCTTTTTACGGGGATTAACTGTTCTTCAGAATATTCTTCAGTGCCTCTGGCATCAGCTTGCTTGCTTTCTGTCAGCATACAAGGTTTTCTGGTATGTCTTTTTTGTTTGGGGTTTTTTTTTTTTCTTTTCTTTTTTTTTTTTGCACAAGTACAGTATATTTTCCTAGTGTAAGGAAAATTCCTCTTCAGGTCTATCTGAGTTTTATTATATCAAGTGGGTCAACAAGACATACTATGTTCTGGCATACTGTTGTGCTCTGGGTACCAGTGCTGAATGCATTGATGTGAATTCTTTGTCCTGGCAGGGCAGATGGGATTACCTTTTGAGTCATATGTTCATTGAGTTAGTTTGTTTCAAAAAATAAATGAGAAGTCCCTTCATTTTGGATTTGTATAAAGTTCAAGGGAATCAGAACAAAGATATGTCACATACACTAGCACAGGGGCCTGGAATAATTTAAAGACTATTCACTCTAAAGTACTTTTATACACTGGAGAGAGAAAGCCGCTTTCAGAAGTTGACTCATCCTTCCTGTCTTTCTCTGACTCTAGAGTGAGTCATGGGTGGGCTAGTCTCTAAACCCCTGTGCCTTGGTTAGAGGGACAAACCTAGGCAAAATTCAGTGACACTGGCTCCAGGAGGTTCCTAAATTGTGAAGGTGATCATCTTGTTTCAAGCTATTCCTGTTTACGCTACGATATCAGCCTGATCCTTTGTCAATACAACTGATGGTGAATGTGTAACTACTGCTGATGACTGTATGTTTTTCCCCCTGAATTGTTCTCTGATGCTGAGTTGAAAAATATGTTTATTTTTCTTTTGGATAGTATATGAGTCTGTACAAATGGTCTTTAAAAACAACTAATCAAAAGACACATTTTGAAGTTACATGCAAGAAATCAGTTGAGTCAGAGAAGTATTGTAAAACAGAAGATAAAAAAGATGGTGAATAAACTAAAGCAAAGGCCAGAAGGTCAACAGCAGTCATAGCCACTGGTGAAGATTTTTTTTAAGGAGAGGTCACAAATTGAGTTAGTTTATTCCCAGCACTAAGTTTAGGTTGTATGGCATATCTCAAGCCTTGCATGTGTAACTATTAGCTGTATGGAAAAGCATAATTGATAATTATGGAATTTTACAGATTCTTCAGGGACAAGTGTCTAACCACCAAATTGCTGTAGAAAAACTGAAAAAATCTGCTGAAGTGTTACTGGATACAAGGGGAGAGTTGACACCAGACAAAGATGAGATTCAGAAGACACTGGGTAAAATGTTTACTTTTCTTAGTACCTCTTTTTATCACTTGTGTCTGCATGCAGGTACTGGAAGAGACAAAATACAGAGTTTCCACATTCTCGTGTCACTGTTCAAGTCCATATTTTGTTGGAGTCATAAGCTATCACAATACAGTAACTTCATTGTTGATCTGCCTCCTACACTTGATCCATATGCTTTTCACTTAAAAGCTGTCATTTTATTTTTGACTTTTTTTTTTTCAGAAATAGGGATTATGTTTAATTCCCATGTTACAGATGGGCATGCCAAACAGAGTTAGTGATTTGCTGAGGATCATAAATTCTCCAGTGGGAAGGAGCATGTTCAGGTTCAAGGAACATGACTCCAACTATCTGTTTCCAAGCAATTATTTGAAGTTTGCTTAGCCAAGGAATTATTTCTTTCTGACTTCAAGAAACTGACTGTGATGGGTTGACCTTGGCTGGTGGCCAGATGCCCACCCAGCTGCGCTCTCACTGCCCTTGCCCAACAGGTTGGGGGTAGAAAATAAGATGGAAAAGCCCATGGGTCAAGATAGGGAGATCACTTACCAATTACCGTTGTGGGCAAAACAGACTTTACTTGGGGAAAATTAAATTCCACTTATTGCCAAATAAAATAGGTTTTGACAGTGAGAAACAAAGACAAATTAAAGCAGCATCCTCCTCCCACCCCGTTCTTTTTTCCAGGCTCACCATCACTCCTTCCTTCCCAACTACTCGCACCTCCTCCCTGCCAAACAGTGCAGGGTGGATGGGGAATGGGTGGTTGTGGTCAGTCCATAACAGCTCCTCTCTGCCGCTGCTTCCTCCTCACGCTTTTCCCCTGCTCCAGCCTGTGTCCTCTCCATGGGCTGAAATCTTTCAGAATAATCTTGCTCCAGTGTGGGCTCTTTATGGGCTGTAGTTCCTTCAGAAAATATCCACCTCCTCCAGCGCTGGGTCCGCCATGTGCTGCAATGTGGTTATCTGTTCCAGCGTGGTCCTCCACAGGCTTCAGGGAAATCTCTGTTCCAGTGCCTGGAGCACCTCTTCCCCCTCTTTCTTTTTGTGTGACCTTCATGTCTGCAGGGCTGATTTTCACACTTTTTTCCCCTTCACTTCTCACTCTCAGGCATCATTTTGCCCTTTCGTAAATACATTTTCCCAGAGGCACCACCAGCTTGGCTGAGGAGCTCAGCTGTGCCCTGTGGTGGATCAGCTGGAGCCAGCTGGAACAGTCTGTGTGTCTTCCATAGGGCAGCCCTGGCCTCTCTTCACAGAGGCCAAAAACTTTGCCGCTACCAAAACCTTACCACCTACACCCGATACTCTTTCCTATCGCTTGTGAGAAGTAGCACAGCATGACATTCACCACTGTCTGAAGTTTGAAGACTCTCTATGTGTATCACACAACTATCTTTTACTGAAATCCCATAAGTAACTTGCAGAGCAACAAAATAAAACAACTGTGGGCTTGCCTTTTTGGAGTTGGTGATGAAACTCCATGGGAGGTACATGGAACTTGTAACTTTCAGAGGCTTATCCCAAAAGTGTTGAAGGTCTAATGAAGAATCATCTGGAAGAACCTTTCAGCTCTAATAATAACATAAGAGACATACTTGTAGAATACCTGTCTTAATACTCTGCTATTTTATTTCTTGGGAACAGTCAAGAGCTGTCATAAGCTAGAGCTGCATGGGAACCAGCTTCTAAAAGCTAGGGAGCACAGCTGTAAGCTGCTCCCTCATTTCCTTTGTCCTGTGGGCTTCTTGTCTCTATTTGAAGATTTTGATCTTTGCTTGTATGTTTTCACTGAATAAAGCTGATGTTTTTGCTTCGTTCTGATGTAGGCAATTTTTGACTCACACTTACCTGGTGAGAACTGGTAAAATGAGTTAAAAGTTTAGTTTGGCTAAAGGAAAAAAATTAAATATATTTTCTGTTTATCAGATGATATTGTGGAGAGGTATGACAATTTATCCAAGTCTGTGAACGAAAGGAATGAGAAGCTCCAAATAACTCTGACACGATCCCTAAGCGTCCAGGATGGTTTGGATGAAATGCTGGATTGGATGGAAGGTGTTGAAAGGAGCCTTGAAGAACGAGATCAAGTGCCTTTGAATTCTGCTGCTATTCAGGATATTATTAGTAAAAGCATTGTAAGTAGCATTCTCTGAAGAAACATTTCTTTGACGATTCAGATTTCAAGAAAGAACTAAAATCTTAGTTTGGCACCTTTAATGGATTCAAAATAATAAAGAGGACTATTGCCTGAAGTGAAACTGCACATAAAGATTTTTGTAGCTGAAATAGACCTACACTGATGGTCTAGCTATGCTGATTTGTTGCTTGATATAGTGTACCAGTTTCACGTCTTAAAATTTAGTTATAAGCAATACAGAGTAGTTGTTGCTTGTTTCAGATGCTAGAACAAGACATTGCGGGTCGCCAAAGCAGTATAAACACTATGAATGAAAAAGTGAAGAAGTTCACGGAAACAGCAGATCCATCCACTGCATCCACACTGCAAGCTAAAATGCGTGAACTTGCAGGACGGTTTTCTGAAGCAAGTAACAAGCATAAGGAGAAGCTTACGAAAATGGAGGAGTTGAAGACTAAAGTGGAGTTATTTGAAGGTCTGTCAGAAAAACTTCAGTCATTTCTAGATGAGAAAAACCAGGCACTCAGTGAGACGGAGGCACCAAGAAAGGATGTTAGTGAAGTGTCTCAATATATGCAGGTACTATACCATTCCATTTGTATACATTGTGTATTTCTAGTCTAAGTCATCTAAGTGATTGAAAAATAAATAAGGCATGCTTGTTACCCAACTTTGGTCAGTTACCTAAAATCAGGAATTTAATTTTGAACAAGTGATTGTAAAGTGTAATATGAAGAATGTAATCCTGTTTTGCAGGAAGCTAGTGTAGAATTGGCACAACATAAGAAGGATCTGGAAGTTTTGCAGCAGCTTCTTGAAGAACTTTCATTCCATGCTCTTCCTGGAGATAAAGCATTGGTATTAGAAAAAGTAAATGCTTTGTCAAAGAAATTCAGAGAAGTAGAGGAGACTGTAAAGGAAAAGTAAGTGAAATAATTGAAGTGTTTCCGCCTTGGCTAATATACAGTGTGAATGTTGTGATGACTGCTATCCTCCTGCATGCAGTCTCAAGGGATTGCAGAAAACCACAGAGTAGAGAGAAGGTTTTTATCAAAAAAAAAGAGATTCTATTTGGAAATGGCTTTGTAGTTTGTCTGTCTGGTTCAAGAGCTCTAATGTTGGCTATGAAGACAAGTAACTCGTCACAAAATTCACAGGAGTCCTGTCAGCTCTAAGAAAACCCTTCTTCTCCCCTTCTCTGATAGAATACAAATTGCTGCTTGTGCAAATTGCTTTAGAGTACCGTTTGGAATCAGGCTGCAAAGGAAAACTGGAGAAATTATTAGAGCTTCCATATAAGTTACCTGTACAGCAAGACTAGATTTTCCACATTCTGCTCATATCCGTAAAGTTAGTTTTTATGACTCTCTGAATTTAGGAATAGCAATATCAGATTGATAATATCTGTTGGTTTAATTATCAGAAGGAATACTGACATTCAGTGCTCAATTTCTTTTGTTGTCTTTAATTGTCTAGAGAAGAGGATGTATCATCTTGTCAGAAACAAATGGATACTTTTGAGCTTCTTGTAGAATCATTAAAGAAATGGATAAAAGAGACGACAGAACGAATTCCAGCAGCGGAACCCTCTCTGAATACAGAGGAGTTAAAGAAACCTTTGGAAGATACACTGGTAAGACATTGTAGATGAGAAGTGAAATATGGCTGAAGGAAATAGGGCATCTATTAGTAACATAAAAGTACAGACTTAAGGGGTAGACAGTTACAGTAATTGGGACTAGGGAGCTTGCAGCCTACATTTACATTCCCATTTCCTTTGCATGTTTGGATATATTGCAGGGGATTCCCAAGTAGCAAGGTTGTTCCTTTCTCTGTGCTAAATCTTTTAAGTCTGAAATCAGTTTTGTAATGAACAAATGACTATTTTTCTTAATCAGAATTTAAAAGATGAATGGACATTAAAAGCACCTGAACTGCAGAAAATGAATAGCAGAGGAACATTGCTGTGTAATCTAATCGCTGCTGTGACTTCTCCTGCCAAACTGAGAGCAGTTGCAAAATCAGGTATGCATTTGTATAATCAGGTAAGCCTAACATTTCAGGAGTTTTTAAAACCTTTAAGACAAAATTTAAAATATTTCACCCTTGGATTAGCTTTCTAAGTATTATGGCTTGTGAGAAGTCAATTAGCCATGTCTGTTCTGACCATCATGTGCTGTGACTATCATTTAAACTGTCTAACTGCTGTAGTAATTCAGTACACATTCTGATTGCTTTACACTCCCAAAATAGCATAAAAGCGCTTTGATGTAAATGATTAACAGGTCCTAAAGCTGTTACTTCAGTATGTAATTCCCAGATAATGAACAAAATGAACAGTATCACGGTTGCCTTCACCTCATCCCAGAAAAATTCTGATAATGAGAAACTGACTTATTCTGATCGGTGTTCAGTGTTTCACATATCAACCAAGTCTGCAAGCAGGACAAATACAAACCGTGCTTTTGCAAACACTGATGTACCTGCACACCTTTGCTGCCACAGAGAGACCTCTTTCATGGCCACAAGGCTATTGTGTGTGACGCCAAACAAACACATAAAGGTTTGCAGAGTCATGGAGTTTTTGTTAGAAGAGTGATGAGGACATGATTTATCTAAAAAGTGAGTCTAGGCGAACCTTCTCATCCCAATAGGATAGCATAATTAATGCTAGTCAATATTTTAGTTGAAACAACAGCATGGAAGGGAATCCACTCCATATCCCCGCATGACTTTCCTGTGCCAAAATGTGCTTCCAGTCCGGAGTTTCAGCTAAATCCTTTTTATCCGTAATCTAATTTTAAAGACAGCAAATCTATTTCCATGATTTTCTGTACTCTAGTGTTTAAATATTAATTTGTTTTACAGAAACTAGTGATTCTGCTAAGTATCATTCAAGCCATAGTTTAAGGCGTGTGGTACCTGGGGTGTTTTAATGGCCATAAGCACATTTTCAGTCAGTTCTTGAACTGACTAGGTCTGGAAATAAATTCAAGTGTGTTGGCCTTCATTGGTCATCTGCAAAGGACTGGGAGGATGGGGACTACCTATTTGGCAAGAGTAGAACACTTGCTTTCTCACATCTCTTTGTATTAGCTGCCTCTGGTTTCATTCTTGTTTGAATTTTAAATAAAAATCTTTCAAAGAACATTTTGGAACCTTATATGAGATATTTGGGCTCCTTCCTCTGCCCCTTTCTCTACTCCTATGCATCTAGATAGAAAAAGAATTAAGTAACTAGCATATAAAAGCAGCTGTAATCCTCCAGACTAGTGTATTCACCCTCCTAGACAAGAGCTGTACTGTGTATCCCTTAATCACAGTTATAAATGCTGGAGTCCAGCTAATAGAGCATGAAGATTTACAAGGCCCTGGCTGGGGCCTGTGACTTCTCTTACCTGGTTAGTTTTCTCTTGCCATCCTCCAGCTGCCACTAAAGTGGTCCTCACTGTCCAGCTGGTACTGTGGGGTGGATGCATAGCCTTTTCCAAGGCAACCGTTAATCTTTCTCTGGTAATTGCTCATCTGGGAGTACATATGTGCAGGAGAGCGGGAAATTGTTATTCTTGTAGTTCTCTGTGGCTTGACCGCGTGCCCCAGCTCTGTGGTCTGACAGCGTTTTACAAAGCCCATGTAGCCCTGGTTCCAGAGGCTTTGAAATTATGTTTAATTAGTAGGGCTGCCTGGGTGAGTGGCTGCCTCTGAGTGACAATAAGGACTTCAGGTATAACAGTAGGAACTTCACATTGCAATCCTTGTCATGGAGCACGTGCTCAAGTCTTGCTCATGATAAGATAGGGAGGGATTCGTCCGGTTGGTATCAAGAGCTTTTTGTGCAGAGGTATGGTGCTGCTAAATCATAGAATTGTTTAGGTTGGAAAAGGCCCTTAAGATCATTGAGTCCAACTGTTAACCTACTACTGCCAAGTCCACCACTAAACCATGTCCCTAAGCGACACGTCTACATGTCTTTTTAAATACTTCCAGGAATGGTGACTCAACCACTTCCCTGGTGGGTAAAGGTGTCCTGAGTAAGCAGTGCCTTTGGTTGTGGTGTCTGCAATGACTACTTTGGGCTTCTTTGCTGTTTAATGCTTAGTGCTCTCCTCAGAGTCTCACCATTTGCCAGCTAGCCCTCTCCCAGGCCATACCCAGACATGGCTGGGTAAAACCGTGTTCTCAGTAGACAGTAGGGAGCAGGTTCCTTTTGCGAAGAGGAGGGAAGTGATGTTAGCCATATGGATGTGAGTAGGCCTCACAGTTAGGGCATAGACCTTTGACCATGTAGCCTTTTATTTAGCATAGTATTGTGAGCAGTAGGACTGCTTATACATCATGCATATGTGCATAATTATATGTGCATCCATGTGCACACCCACCCACTATGCATATGCTGTGCATATGTGGTACCACTTACAGTACTAGCTGGCTGGAGCAGCTTAAAACATAAAACAACCTTAAAATATATAAAACAGTTTAAATAAAATATTAAAATATTTGCTATTACAAGGTTAGTATTCAGATATTTCTTTAATGTTACAATGAGAGCTATGTATTGTTTTGTTTTAAAGAGGAAATGCAGTGCTGGGATTTTGGTGGGAAAAGGTCCAGATAAGCATGGGTCTCTCTTGATCCACAGGTGGCACAATGTTAAATGGTGAAGGAGGAGCTCCAGGAACTCAGGATTTCCTGAAAAATAAAGGTCAGTAAAAATTTCAGGATGTGATTAAAAAAATGTACTTGCCAATTACTGTTAAATATGTAAGTATTTTTAAAATGTTGTATATAAATGTGCTTGTAGCAGTCACTACTAGACTGAAATTTCATACCACCGTTATGTA